GTCTGTCGGTCCCGTCCGGTCCGGGGCGTCCTGGTGATGCGCGTCGCCCGCCCAGCCGCTGCGCCTCTGCCCGCAGGCCGTGCACGAAACCATCCTCAGCAACCGGTTCCTCATCGTGCGCGCCAAGAAGCTGCGCTGCGGACGGGAGGAGAGCCGCCGCTTCTACCGGGAGCACGCGGGTAGGCGGGCCGGGGCAGGCGGGCGGGCGCAGCGGGCGGACGAGCTTGGCCGGCGGACAGGGCCGGGGCCGGCGGAGCTGGGCCGTGTGACTCGGGCCGTCTTTCTCCCGCAGGGCGGTTCTTCTACCAGCGGCTGGTGGAGTTCATGGCCAGGTACCTGCTGTGCCCGCAGCCGGGCTGCGCGGGGAGGGAGCTGTCTTTGCTTTGCAGGTGGACCCGTGTCTTGCCTGAGCAGTGCTTGTGCATCGGGAGGGGTCCACTTCGGCGTGGGATGCGCCTCATCAGGAGCTGGTGCTTGTGGTGTGCCAAGGTGGAAGGCTCCGGGCTCGTGGGTGGAGAAGTGTCAGGAACCAACTCTGCTGTAACAACAGCAGTACTTGGTGCGGGGGCCATCACCTAGGAGGAGGTCATTCGTGCAAATGCTTTGCTTCTGGGGCATGGTCTCAATGTCTGTGTCCCCTGCCAGAAAGCACTGCATGGCGGTTGCACTTCATTGCTTCTTTGCGCTTTCTGTATTTATAAGAATGAATGAGCTATGCCCTTTTGTAACCTTATCTACTTCTGCTCTTCCCTGGTCCTTTTCTCAGTGGCCCCATGTGGGCTTATATCTTGGCCCACGAGAATGCTGTACCCCTCTGGAGATCCCTGATGGGACCCACAAAAGTATTCCGAGCTCGAAACAGCGTCCCGGACTCCATCCGAGGAGCTTATGGCCTTACTGACACCAGGAATACCACTCATGGCTCAGGTAGACCTGTTCTTCTTGGCTAAGTGTTGGGCAAAGACTGGAGCTCAGGGAGGTGTGAATGATGGTATTTTGCTTGCCTTTGCTTGCTTTCCTTTCTGGGAGTCAGAGTTAATGATTTGCTCACTTCTGCAGACTCCAGTCACACCTGTCCTGGTGCAATCGAGCCTGGTACTTTTCTTTATGGCTTCTGCCATTCCCTTTACAACATAGCACATATTTGTGGTGCCAGACTGGCATTTCTCATCCTGTTTTCCTCTGTTTTCCAACAGATTCACCAGCATCAGCCAGCAGAGAAATTGCCTTTTTCTTCCCGGAGTTCAATGAACAGCTCTGGTACCAGCAGGAAGAGCCACGTCTGCGCTCTGGGCAGGTGTATTACAATGCAGAGGAGCGTGTCCACTGTGTGTTCAGGGATGAAGAAACAGAGTTGACCTGAATTACCCAGGGGTATGGTTTGCTGAGCTGGAAGTAGCTGCTAGGCACACTGTTTGGGTCAGCCCCCTAACAAGATATAGAGCTATGGTATGTTTCAAGGAGTATGGGGGAGGGAAAGACCTAACGCATATTATGTTGTGCCACCTGGGATTATGTTATTCATGCAACATACAGGTGCTGGGGCATTTTAGGAAAAAACTTCTCAAGTAGCAGTACTCCCAACTCGATATAGAGGTCTAGCCATGCAGTTCACTGGTCCCTTCCGTGTTTATTTGGATATGACCAGTATAGGCGAGTTCATCAAAGGGATAAGCGGAAAGGGAGTTGCTAGTTCCAGTTAGGATATGATTGGTTTTGCTGATAGTAGGCCTCAGATTCTTAATATTTACTCTGTTCCCACAGTCCCTTATGGAGAAGAGAGGGGAAAAAGAATATGAGAAAATGCAGCGGTAAGCAGGGCAATATTAACTCTCCTGTCCTTGCTTTCCTGGTTCCAAGCTGAGAAATAAGGCTGCCTTCAGTTTTGTATCGTGATTCATATCTTAAGCATCTGGCAGAGGGCACAGTTAGAAGCCATTCTTGAGAGGAAAGCAGCATATCCTGTTGGTTCAGTTTTGTCTGGGCTGACAAGCCTGGGACAGAAGTGCCAGGGGAAGTTGCAGAAAGATGTGGAATAGTCCAGTGCCTGTGAAGGATCTTCTATTTTGTGCTTTTAGATTGCCTGGGGCATGAGATGAGTAGTTCTGATGAAACTTGATAGTGGCTATTAAAGCTGTAGATTTCTGGAATCCATAATAAAAAACCAGAGAAGTTAATTCTGGTGCACAGAAGCTGTAGAGTTTCTGCCCAGAGCTCAGCATTGAAGCACTGAGTTCCATGTCCTTTGTAAATTATATGGACAAAGTCATTATCCAGATAACTGATAAAATTATTATATGGTGGTGCATGAGGACTTGGTTTTGAGGTACAGTGCAAGGATCTGACATGCTTATTTACGTTTTCCTGTTTGATGCATTTCGAGATCTGTTCCTGTAGGAGTTTTTAATCATTTAAACTGTCCCCCTAATAGCTTCTCACTATGCTGATTTTTTTTCTTTAATTAAGGTGCCATGTTGTACTGAGTGAATTTCTTTTGGATAATTTCAAATGCACTGTGTTGGTGAAGGTACCTTTGTAGTAATGTACTTGGGGTAAGAAGTTTGTTAGCTTGACTTCATTTTCTGAAGCTATGCATGACTAGCATTGACGATACTAGTCACTAAAGCTGTTGACAGAGTCCCGAATTTACTAGTGCATTATTGTGTCACAGATCAAAGGCAAGTTACTTTGTCTAGTTTAAGACAACTATGTAAAACATTGGTTGTTTGATTGAAAAATGTTTAATTGTAGGAAGTGCTGCCGTAGAGCTTCCTTGATTAAATACATCAGTATTTTTCTTCCTTCCTTACTATTATATGAGGTTAAATGCAGTCACTGTTTTGTTCCAGGTACAGATCAAAAGGATGTGCGGAATATTTCTGCATTTTTTGCACTGCTGCTTTTATTTTCACCAGCAGTATCCAATGGTGGATCTGTTCATGATCGAGTATGCGTTTATACAGGTCTGAAATCTTGCTGTCCTTAATGCTACTGTCAGTTGATATTTTATTGATTCCCTGAGTTTCTATTAAATTATGTGTGGTTTTCTTGTAACTATTAACCCGTAACTATTTTTTTCACCTTTCTTCTTTAGATTGTGCTTTCTTTTTGGATATTAATTTGGGATATCATTAAATGATAGTTCCTAGCTTACACTTCTCATTTTAAATGTGGGGGTTTTTTTCTAGTCACTTGCAATTATTACATTTGGGGAAACTGACCCTTTCAAAATTTCAAGTACAGGTAACGCTGGCTTAGTGGCGCTGTATTTTCACAGAATAATTATCAGATCACGATCACCATTACTTAGATAGCTGCCAGTTGTTGTGTCCATATTAACGTTTCTTTGGTCCACCAAGACTGTACCTGAGTAAAGGTGGTCAAAAATGTACAGTCCCATTTCTCTAGAGTCTTTATTTTGCAAATCTAAAGATGGTCTGTGAACTTTATCAGGAGATCTAATATTGAAATATTTTGTGTTAGATGCAGGAGATAGTGTCAAAAATTGTTTTTAATATCAAAGGAAGCCTTTGGATATATGAGATGACAGCAGATCCTCTCTGTTTTGAGGATTCTTATGAAAGTACTTCTTTTTTTTTTTCTTTTTCTTTCTTTTCCCCTCCTTGTAAGTGCTCAAGAAATGTTTTTTAACTTCTCTAGTGACACTTAGCATCTGTTTTGTATACCTCCTGGTGCCTCTCAGTCCTGTGGTCAATCACCTTACAGAACTAGGTGAAACCTCTGATTTTTTTTTTACTTTTATTTTTACACCTGAGCCAAACCATTCTTAAGAAATCTTGGTAATGCCTACTACGTGCTATTTCTTCTCTTTTCATAAAGATTTTTGGTTGCTTTAATTGAGTTCCAAACATGTTGTAAAATAATAAAGGCAAGTTATCTGAATGCTGGCTTAGCTTAAATTTGTAATGTCTGATGCTGCAACAATCTCATGCACAGTAGACATTTTTACTTTGGTTGTTGTTCTCTTCTTACTAATGCTTAAATGTCTTCTGCCTGTTGTTTATTTGCACAGAAGCATGGTACCTGAATATTAGACTGAAGGATGCTGAACCATACAGTTTCTGCATTCTACAGTTTTCTAGAGAAAGTGCTCCAGTATTTCACAGAAACACTACAGTCCTGTTAACGTAACTTATCCCACCAATTGTTTAGCTTCTAGACCTTTCCTTGCACTCAGGAGATGGGACAGATTTCTGAAGAATTTCCCTGGAACATCTCTTCTCCGGAAAAGATAAATGTAGTCCCATTTTAAACCTAAGTACTCAACTTCAACAACAGCTTGCATAACTGACTACTCTTTTCTTTTTTATCTTTTTTTTTTCCATAGGTGTTTGAAAATATGGAAGCCAGGTTTTGTTTATCTGGGGTATTTTGGAAGGAAGGGGAGCAAATAAAGATAAAAATCTCTAGTACTAAATAGTCAATGGGGAACCTAGTGTAAAGGTGTTTGAATGCAAGGGCAGTTTATGTCCTGGACGTGTTAGTAACTGGCGTCAGGATCTGATGAAGAGAGATGGAAAGTGGTTTTGCCTGGAATCTACCAGGGCTTTGGACTGTGTATCATGTAGATATGGTTGTCTTGCTTCTGGACCCAAGCAAGCCTATGAAGCAAATGTGGATCATTACGTAGGCATGAGTACATTCTGTTGTGTGTGGGGTTTTTTTCCCTTGCTTGTACTTCTACCTTGTCAAGCCCAACATTAAGTTTGGTTAATAAGTCCAAATCTAGCCCCTACTTGACCTGTGTTGGGCATAAGGTGGGAGATTGTTATTTTTCTGTGATATGGAGAAAACAGTCGTGGTCTATTTTTTCCTGCAGTTCGATGTTCCTCTTGCTCTTTGGTCTTCCTGTTCTGTATATACAGAGTTTAGGTTCTTGAGGACTGAGATGCTTGGAGCTAATGGAAAGTTTTACGCTCAATTCATAATAAGCCAAGATATTAATGGGCCATGATGCAAGTACAGACAGACTGTAAAGTATAGCAGTGTCTCCTGGCATTACGCTCTTTCCATTGCTGAGAATGGAGCTGCATATGACTTTCAATGGCAAATTGGACCTTTTGCAAAACAGACTTGCTTCAGAGCCAGTCCTGTGACACAGGTAATAAAAATGCCTCAGCAATCATTTGTCTCAGGATTTTGCTGCCAGAAGACTTATACCACCTTGTGGAGGGAGGCATTTACAAACAGCAGGTGAAGGGCAGGCATGGCAGCTGCAGTTTGCTGCAGTCACCTCAGGTTTTGTGCAGCTGTTGTGTACTGGAGGTGTCTCAGATGCAACAGCAGATTCTGGAGAACCTTTGCACCAGCAGCTGCTTAGTGGCATATTCTCTCCAGGAGATATATCCATAGTCACAGTGTTGATAGAGGAAATAGCATGGCCAGCAAATGCAGTCCAAGGATTTGTTTAGTGTTGTTTAGAATCTGCTGGTACTCTTCACTTCTGCACCATCCCACAGAAGCCAATTTGGAGAGTCCATCACCTGCAGCATGGAAAAAAAAGTGCTTATTTTTGTCTGTTTTAATCTGATCTGCCACTATTTCCATGGAGTGTCCTCTCCTAGTGCTGCTGGATTTCATGGAGTCATAGAATCATAGAAAAGTTTGGAAGGGTTGGAAAGCTGGAAGGGACTCTTAAAGGTCATCTAGTCCAATCTCCCTGCAATGAGCAGGGACTTCTTCAACTAGGTCAGGTTGCTCAGAGCCCCATCCAACCTGACCTTGAATGTTTCCAGGGATGGGTCATCTACCACCTCTCTGGGCAACCTGTGCCAGTGTTTTACCACCCTCATTGTAAAAAAATTTCTTCCTTGCATCTAGTCTGACTCTACCCTCTTTAAGTTTAAAACCATTACCCCTTGTCCTATTGCGACAGGCCTGACTAAAAAGTCTGTCCCCATCTTTCTTATAAGCCCCCTTTAAGTATTGAAAGGCCACAACAAGGTCTTCCCCAGAGCCTTCTCTTCTGCAGGTTGAACCACCCCAACTCTCAGCCTGTCCTCATAGCAGAGGTGTTCCATCCTGCTGATAATTTTTGTAGCCCTCCTCTGGACTTGCTCCAACAGGTTCATGCCTTTCCTGAATGGAGGACTGCGGAGCCGAATGCAGTACTCCAGGCAGGGTCTCACAAGAGCGGAGCAGAGGGGCAGAATCACCTCCCTCAGCCTGCTGGCCATGCTTCTTGTTACACAGCCCAGGATTGATCGGCTTTCTGGGCTACAAGTATGCATTGCTGGCTCATGTCCAGCTTTTCATCCACCAGTACCCCCAAGTCCTTCTCAGCAGGGCTGCTCTCAATCCCTTCATCCCCCAGCCTGTATTGATACTGGGGCTTTCCCTGACCCAGGTGCAGGACCCTGTGCTTGGCCTTGTTGAACCTCATCAATTTCACATGGGCCTGCTTCTTGAGTTTGTCCAGGTCACTCTGGATGGCATCCTGTCCCACAGGTGTGTCAGCTGCACCACTCAGTTTGGTGCCACCTGCAGACTTGCTGAGGGTGGGCTTGATGCCACTGTCTATGTCAGATGAAGATACTAAATAGTACTGGTCCCACTACGGACCCCTGAGGGACACAACTCATCACTGATCTCCATCCAGACATTGAGCCATTGACCACTACTCTCTAGATGTGACCATCCAACCGATTCCTTATCCACTGAACAGTCCATCTATCAGATCCATATCTCTCCAATTTAGAGAGAAGGACGTTGTGGGGGACCATGCCAAAGGCCTTGCAGAAGTCCAGATAGATGACATCTGTAGCTCTTCCCTTGTCGACTGATGTAGTCACTCCATCACAGAAGGCCACTAGGTTGGTCAGACAGGACTTGCCCTTGGTGAGGCCATGCTGGCTGTCTCAAATCACCTCCCTGTCTTCCACGTGTCTTAGCAAAGCTCCTAGGAGGATCTGGTCTATGATCTTCCCAGGCACAGAGATGAGGCTGACAGGTCAGTAGTTCCCAGGGTCTTCCTTTCTACCCTTCTTAAAAAAGAGTGTAATGCTTCCCTTTTTCCAGTCACCAGGATCTTCACCTGACTGCCATGACTTTTCAAGTATTATGTATGGAGAGTGGCTTGGCAACTACATCAGCCAGAATATATAAAGGGGGCTTATAAGAAAGACAGAGTAAGACTTTTTACCAAGGCCTGTAGTGACAGGACAAGGGGGAACAGATTTAAACGGAAAGAGGGCAGGTTTAGATTGGACTGACCTGCTGCTTGTGTACCCACGTGTCCTCTGCAGCTGTGCTCTACTGCAGCAACATCCTGGAGTCCTCACCCGTGATATACAGGCTCCATCACATGTGCCACATGTACCTGAGTCACAGAATCATAGAAAGCTGAAGGTTGGAAAGGACCTCTAGCGATTGTCTAATCCAAAATCCCCACCTGAAAGCAAGGTCCCCTAGAGCAGCTTGCTCAGGACCTTGTTTTATCACCCTTACAGTAAAAAGAAAAAAATATTCTTATGTTTAAGTGAAATTTCTAGTATTTCAGTTTGTGCCTGTTGCCTCTTGTCTACTCCCTGGATACCACTTGTTTTCTTTACTGCCTCACATCAGGTGTTTATACACATTGATAAACCCCTCTGAGCCTCTTCTCAAGGCTAAACAGCCCCAGCTCTCAGCCCCTCCTCACGTCGGATGCTTAAATCTCTTAATCATATTCATCCAGTTTTGCCCAGGCTTGTATTGGGGACCCTAGAACTCGTCACAGTACTCTAGATGCGGTCTCACCAGGGCCGATTAGAGGGGAAAAGATCTCCCTCGACCTGCTGGCAATGCTCTTGGTAGTGCTGGCTCATGGTTAGCTTGTTGCCCA